AGCCAAGCCCAAGAAAGTCAAAGTGTTAGTCGCTCAGGCTCTTTACAATCTCATGCACTGTAGCCCACCAGGCTTCTTAGTCCTTGGAATTCTCAAGGCAAGAACACTGGAGTCAGTTGCAATTCCCTCCTCCAGGGATCTTCCCAATCCAGGGATCAAACCCAGATCTCCTGTATTGCAGGCAGATTCTTCACTGCATGAGCCACCTTAAGAAAAAGCATTAATTGTTATCAGGATATCAGGTTATGGCCTCTTAAGGGGGCCCACCTGAAAAAAGGGAACACATGAAAAGCCAAGGTAGTAAAACACTGGTGATTTTTAAATTAAGAGTCACCAAAGGGCTTCCCAAATGGCAGAGTGGTAAAGAACCCACCCGCCAATGCAGGAGATGCAAGAGACATGGGTTCCATCCCTGGGTTGGGAAGATCCCTTGGAGAAGGGAATGGCAACCTGCTCCAGTATTATTGCCTGGAAAATTCCATGAACAGAGGAGCCTGGCGTGCTACAGTCTGTGGGGTTATAAAGAGTCGGACATGACTGAATGATGGAGAACACACTGATGATAACATCCCCTAATAATAACAGACATTGCAAAAAAGGTCCACTGTTTATATCCACTCCGATACAACTATATTATAAAGTAATCAAGAGAAAAGCAGGTCTGACGAAGCCTTGCTGAACTGTTTATTTTCTATGTAGGTCTTAGAGGAGAACTTGGTTACTGTAAATAACTTAAAACAACTGGGATTCATTAAGAGAAGTTCCACAATGCATTTAGTTGTTTGCATTCCTTTAAATTCAGCTTAATATTATGCTCTTCTTTGGGGGGAAAAAAACCTAATTTTTAATAAGTATCTGTTTATTTACAATTTAAAAGTTATATGCTTGAACTAAAAAAACTGGATCAAGAGATATATGCCCAACATGACTACTGGTCCACAGAGTCACAATTAAGTATATATACCATCCTTTACTCCACAGCTTAAATGACAAACCTATCACTTAAAAGAAAAAAATCAACTCTTGAAAAGTTAACCATGCAAAACCAAGCCTCAAATATGACAGGTAACATCACAGACATTAATATCAATGGCATAAAATATAAATCAGCTGTTCTTTATTCATCACTAATTCTAAAGTAACTGTCACAAAGTGAAAACTCTGTTTCTTGCCTGGATGGAGTGAGGTGTGAAAAAGAAAAGGAATCAGGTTTAAAAAGGTGATGATTCTTAGCTGGAATACAAATTCTGGATACAAGAAAGAAAACTGACTATCATTCAGTCAATTCACCGTATGACTTCTATCAGTTAGGATGCTCTGGCTGCAAGGGGAGGAAACCTGTCCACCATCGTTTAACCAAAAAGGAACTGATTTTCCTGCCATTACGAGTCCAGAAATAGACAGTCCAAGGTCAGCACAATGACCCCAAAGGATCCCAGCTACTTCCTTCCACAACCACACTCAACTCTGCCTTTGTAAACAGAAGACGCTAAAGCCCAGGAAACGCACAAATGTCCAAGGGAAGTCGTTGAAAACTCCACTTACAGAAAAGGACAAAAGCCAATGAGCTGTTTCAGAAAAAGTCTGCAACCTCACTATGGAATTTCAAAGGGAGAAGGAAAAGAAGAGGAAAAGGGAGAGGGAGAAGAAAGGAAAATCAGATACTGTCAACCTCAACAAAATAACCAAAACTTTCTGGGCTAAATGTCACTAAATGTTACTTCAATATTATCCAACTGCTGCAAATGCCAATTGAAGCACAAAGTCAATTTTCAATAAAGTGTAACGGTTAAGGGCAGAAACTCTGCAGTCAAATCGCTTATGCTCAAATCTCAACTTCCACTGCTGAGTCACTGTGTGACCTTAAGAAGGTACTTAGCTTCACTAAGCCTCAGTGGCTCACAGTGGGGATAACAATAGTCCTTACTTTGCAGGATTACAGGTCAGACCAAGTGAGACAGCACCTGTAGAAACAGCACAGCACCTGCACACATTTGATGTGTGTCCCAAATCCACCTCTTATCTTTTGAGCAGTATGGCCATCATCATCACCACTGTACCTTGGCATAGCTCAACAGACATTCAGTTACCTGCCTGACCTTAATAACTGAAGTCTTTCTGCTCTGCTTCTTTCAGCAAGGCACAGGTAGAAAGCAGCATGGAGCAGTAAAATCCAAAAGCTCTCCATCAAAATTTTCTCATCTACTGAACCCTTGGGCAATTTAAATATGCATCTTTTTTATTCTTTTCTTCCAAATGTTCCTCACGTATTCAGCAAGAATCAGATATTTCACAGATAAAAAATTATAAGTTCAAAATTCAAAGAAAATTACCTATCTTTGAGCAAGTTATAGAACTAAGGCTATAACTAGGACTAAAGCCCATATCAGGCTGATTTTAAGTCCTTCATTTAAGTGGCAATTTTGGCCCTCTTAAGAAATCTTTCATCTACTGTTGGAGACTGACTGAGCATCAAATTTACTTAAATGCCGGGTGTTTTTCTACTCTCTGGGTCCTTGGACAGCACCTCAGTCTGGTGCCACACGAAGACTGCTCTCCTAACAAGCGTTTGCTCAATCACTCCAGTGAGGGTCATTCTAGGCCTCCTCTCTGTATGGAGTTTCTCCTGTCACCTAAGTCCTCCTCACAGGGACTCCAGTTCAGGACCATAACCAGCTGTGTGGTCCCCGAGACCCTTCCACAAGGTCGACAGGATCAAAACTATTTTCATAATAACTGTCAGACCTGCAACGGAGTAGCTGCAGCAGAGACCACATGGCCCACAGAGTTTCAGATATTTGTTATCTGACCCCTGATGGAAAAACTTTGCCAATCTCTGCTTTAGAGCATGAATCTTTCAAAAGGTGATGCTTATGTTCCTTCTTAAATGACACAGAAGATGTTGCATTTTGCATCAAAATATACCTCTTATTAAAAAAAAAATGAAGTTTGTATTAAAAACACTTAGAAATCTTCAAACCAAACCCTGGAAAAAAAACTGATACAACCCTCCAGAGGTTATGTAACAGCTCTTCTCTCATGGTTTAAGATTTTACCATGAGATTCCCCAGGACTACCTACCAAAGCCAAATCTCCATCAGCATCAAAAGAGACTACAAATCAGGCTGGACAGGGGTAAGACCTTTAGAGAACACCCACAAAGATGGGTGACTTCTGCTGCCTTCTGTGAATGAATATCTAGTATGGAACTCACCTTCCTGCCATGAGTGACCATAAGGCAAGGCAAAATATATGAAATGATTGCTTTCAGGCATTGAGACAACAGGCAGGGCAGAACTGGGATTCCTGCGAAATCAAGTGAGGTAAGTCCTCTAACTGCTCTCCTCCCTGCAGAAAGGAGGGAGAATCTAAGTGGAGCACAGCAGTCTGGAAGGCCCCAACAGACAGAGACCGGAGTTCAAGCTGCTGAGCATCAGGGGTTTTGCAAGACAGAGCACAGTGAGGGAGGCATGCAGAGAAAGCCCTTCAGGAATCTATACAGATTCCTCCTGAAAGCTAAGTCAGCCCTAAGTGAGGCTACACCATGTGCGTGCTCAGTCGCTGAGTCACGTCCAACTCTTTGAGAATCCATGAACTCTAGCCTGCCAGGCTCCACTGTCCATGGGATTTTCCTAGCAAGAATACAGGAGCAGTTTGCCATTTCCGTCTCCAGAGGATCTTCCCCACCTAAGGACTGAAAACGTATCTCCTGCATTATAGGCAGATTCTTTACCACTGAGCCACGCAAGAAGAGAAAACGACACTAGACCTGTCCTAATGAAGTTTAATAACAAGTCTGGAATGGATCAACCTAATTCACAAATTACTTAGCTGCCAACCAAAACAAAGGTCAATACTCTTCAAAGGAAGATGACAAATCCCAGAAACTCAACAACATAATGTACTCAAGCAGCAATGGACAGAGCTGACAGAATCAGCAGACGAGGCTATTATAAATGCACTTCATGTGCTGAGAATACACAAGAAAACACGAGCATAATGAAGAGAAAAATTAGATTTCATTTCATTCTTTTTTATGTCTTCTAAAGCTCTAAAAAGTCTCTGAAATTAGAAGTCCCCTGGATAGACTTAGCATATTAGACCCTTGAAAAGACAGGACTAATGAACATGAAGACACAGCAAAAGAAACTATTCATACTGAAGCCAAGGAGAAAAAAAGACAAAAAAATCACCCAAGCCTTAGTGACTTATGGGACATTACCAGGCAGTCTAACATACATGTAATTGGAGCCCCAGAAGGAGAAGGGAGAGAAATAGTAGCAGAAATTTTTTCCAAATTTGATCAAAACCATGAGTCTACAAATCCATAAAGCTCAAAGAACACCAGAGAGAATAAACAAAGGCATATCACAATCAAATTGCTGAAAAACAGTGATAGTAAAAAGAAAGCAGAAACATTATGTTGCTCCCCCACTTCTTTCTGTGATATAAAATAAAAACAAATCTAAACCAAACAAAGCAAATAACATCTTCCTAGATCTTCTGGTCAAAAAATTGTGGTCAAGTTTAGGAAAACTTAACTTTCCTCATTTTATTGTAGAGGCCTTCCTTTCAGTACCCCTAGCATCAGCTTAGTCTGTCTACTGAGTAATTAAGCATGAACAAAATATAGTTAAATTACTGAAGAATAACTATCACAATGCTATATACCATACAGTTCACAAATATCACATATTTTTGATTATATGCTCCTTGAAATCAGAAACCTGCATGTTTCAGCACATAAATTTCTAGTGCAGTTTCTAGTGGTTTGAACATAAGGGTTTGAACACATAGAAATGAGTCAATCTCATCTCATCTTCAGTACATTACTATACAGTATACATACAACAAGATGAGAAAACAGATGCCCAGAGGGTTAAATGAGTGTCCCAAGCTCACCCAAAAGGTGAGTGGTATCTCACATCCCTAGAGCAATGCCACCGCACAGGGTTACCTCAAAACAGATACAAAAGAAAGAAGTTTTCATTATTACTTACTCTGAGTTTCCACGAGATCCAAAGCCACACTAGAAGCTGTGTCCATTCCAGAGCTGATACAGGCTTGGAAGTTTTTCAAGGAGGACAGTGCAGATTCTACACCACTGAAGGATATAAAACCGGTTGAACCTGAACCTGAACTTGAAGTGGAACACCCCGGCATCTTGAAATTATTACCTAAGTTTTCAAACACAGTGAAATGAGATTTATGAATAAGAATAATAACTGCATAGGAAAACAGAACCACTAGAAATATCCGTATGAGTGTATCCAGTATCTCTACAAATGCTACACTATTCTATAGCTGTTGAAAGGATATCAAAGCATTGTGCCATCATCTGGGCCACCAAACAATATCTGCCCTTTTAATATACAGGGAAGGTAAGTGTTCTCATTTTTTAAAGGAGGAATAATACCCTCTTCCAAAAGATTCCCTGATTCTCTAAAGAATTCAACAAGAGCTCAGTTCCTAAAAACCTAAAACAAAAATGGGTCAGAAAGAGTAGACTGCTCATATGATGCATTTTTCCAAAAAAAGAAAACAGCAGCGATAAAATAGTTTAATAAGGGAGAATTTTCAAAACCTGCAATTTTTAACTTATCTGACATATGAGTACTGATTTCAAGCCAGTGAATTAGAAGCCACCTCCAGGCCCTGGCATAAAAACCGAACTCTCTCTCTACACCATCCAATTTTACAGCTTGAAACAGACAATGACCTTAGGAGTCACATACTGAAGATGGAGAATCACCAAATGGAAGGAGCCTAGGTTTCCACATCACTGCCTGGAGGAAAACTGCCCACCAGTCAGGTTCCATGCATGAAGGAAATTGAGAAGGACTTCAGTTTTGCAAAGCCATTTAGATTTGGGGGTACACCTATTATTACAACACCAGCTGTTGTTCAAAAAAACACAACCCTGCAAGGATCAAATGATATGGTTCAAGTATTCAGTTATCTGGGAGGTCAATCTTGATTCTAGTATAAGTCTAAATTGTCTAGAACAGCACTATCTAAAAAAACTTCTTTCTTCCATGACAGAAATGTTCTTCCTATAGTCTGCATTGTCCAATATGGAAGCCACCATGAATGTGTGATTATTATTTAGCAGCGATTACTGATGGTCACAATAGCATCAGTAGCCTGACAGAAGAACTGAGTTTTTGTTGTTGTTGTTTGTAGTTTTTTTTTTAAGAACTGAGTTTTAAATTTTATTTCATTATAACCAATTTAAATTTAAATAGCCATACCGTAAGTCAACTACACTTAAAAAAAAATAGTAACATATCTTCATTGAAACATATTTAGAAGTCTTTTTATAGCAATACCCAACTTTAAAAAAAATAAAATTATTCTTGGTACATAGTCACATTCTTTAATCAGTTTATTAGCCATATCTGTCTTTAATGCTAAGACATGGGTGTTTTTGAAGATGTATTATCTCAATGTGCTCTTATTATTTTAATTTTTCATAGAATTTCCTGAAATTCTCTTCAAAACTGCATGTCATGCTTATGAATGTGACGCTGTTGACACCTTCAAATGTGTCTTTTCTGAAGACCATTCTTTTTAAAAACTGTAAAATACTACAAGTAACCTTCTGTGAAGTTCAGAAGTAATACTTCTAAATGGAGAATGTTTTCTATTCTATTCTCATTTTTCAAATAGATATATGTAAATATTTCATCACTAATATTTTTACCTATCTTTGCCTCTATTCAGAGGATCTCTGTTCAACAAACATCTTTTATAAAACCAAACTTATCAAGTAAGTTACCTATTATTGTTTTTGTCAATGCTCTGCTATGTAGAAACAATGCAAAAAAAAAAAATTAAATAACCACATGTGTCTAGTGGCTACCGCACTGGGCAGCACCATTCTAGAAATATAATCATCAAAGTATAATATATATATAACATCACACACACACATACATACATACATACTAGGGGTTAGGCTAGTCATGGTACGAACAGGACATATCTTCCTAAAATATTAATTTTACTTAAAGAAATCATGAAACACATTTATATTAAACCAAACATTAGTTACGTTACAGAGTAAAACATGGGGGCAATACTAGTAGGAGTTAACTACTAAAAACTCCAGGAGGGGTTCAACATGTAGCCTCTGGAGGCAGACTATGTGAGTTCAAAGCCTGATTTTGCCATTAAAGTAACTGAATAACTTGCGACAAATTATTTAACCTGTCAATGCTCTCCTTTTCCTTTCTGTAACATGAGGATGATCCAGTGCCAGTATCAAGGGTTACTGGGAGGACTAAATGAGTTCACTTGTTTAACAAAACACTCAGAATAATGCCTGGCAAATCATCTTTTCAAATGAGAACTAATATCACCATTGACTTAATCATCACTGTGAGTAGCAATACAGAATAGTGCATAAGTGAAATGGACCCTGGACACCAATGCCTGGAAATTCCACCTGTCCACACCACTCAAAACTGCATCACTCTGGTTGAACAGCTTAACTTCTCTATCTTCGGTTCCTCCCCGCCCCCACCCCGTGTAAAAAGAAGATAAGCACATCTATCTTACAGCATTATTGTAAGGATAAATTAAATTTTGTAGTTTTCTCAAACATGTCTGATCTTAAGAATCAGTTGAAATACTTTCTAAAAATGCAGATTAATGGATACTATCTCAGACCTACTGAATCAGTCTCTAGTGGACACTCTGAGGAAACGATATTTTTATGAAGCACCCCCACATAATTCAAGTATGGTAAACACTGAGATAATTGTGCCCTCCAAAATTCATGTTTAGCCTAACTTCCAATGTGATGACATATGAAGATGGAGCCTTTGGGAGATGATCAGGTTTAAATGAGGGGGGAGCCCTCATGATGGGATTGGCATCATTAGAAGAGGAAGAGACACAGGGCTCGCTCTTTCTGTCCTTCAAGTAGATTTACAGGAAGGTGGCCATCTGCAAACGAAGAGAACCCTCACCAGTACTCAACCACACCAGCAACTTTTAGTCTTCAAAACTGTAAGAAATAAATTTCTGTTGCTTAAACCACCAGTCTATGATAATTTTTAACAGGAGCCTGAAGTAAGACACAATGTATATAAGGATTAAGGGCTTCCCTGATAGCTCAGTTGGTGAAGAATCCGCAATGCAGGAGACCCGGGTTTGATTCCTGGGCCTGGAAGATCCGCTGGAGAAAGGATAGGCTACCCACTCCAGTATTCTTGGGCTTCCCTTGTGGTTCAGCTAGTAAAGAATCTGCCTGCAATGCAGGAGACCCAGGTTCGATCACTGGATTGGGAAGATCCCCTGAAGAAGGGAAAAACTACCCGCTCCAATATTCTGGCCTGGAGAATTCCTTGGGCTGTATAGTCCATGGGGTTGCAAAGAGTTGGACATGACTGAGCAACTTTCACTTTTTCACCTTCATATAAGGATTAATATAATCCAGGACAAACGGAAATTATCTACTACACAGTAGCCATCCTTATCATATGAATGCAAAACTCACATTACTCCAATGGAACTTTACACTTGCAGACAGGTGACGAAAAACATCTTTCCGTAATTCTGAACTATTAAGAGGAACGATTCAGATCCAAAAGCAAAGAGAAATGGCTTTTCCCTATCTCTGACAGAGGAGCCTGGCGGGCAATAGTTCATAGGGTCGCAGAGTTGGACACGACTGAAGTGACTTAGCATGCAAGCACAGCTAAGTACATAAGTCACAGGGCAGCCTGCCACAACAAAGAATTACTTGTTCCCAAATGTCAGTGCAGTAGTCGAGAAACCTTGGTTTAAACTAACCACTTCTTCCTCGGGGATCAGTGATTATTCTGTTCTCTATACCTATGGTCTCAAAGAAAGCTTAAAACAGGGTTACCCACTTCCTGAGTTTTTCCCCTAGTAGACTATGTTGCCTTCCCTAACAGGCCTTGTCTTCACCAGTTGGTGCTGCTGTAACAAAATACCGCAGATACAGTAACATATAAACAACAGAAACATTTCTACAGTTCTGGAGGTTATGAAGTCCAAGGTCAAGGCACCAGCACAGTGCATTCTGCTGAAGGCCCTCTTCCTGTGGTTCATGGCCAAGGCCTTCTAGTTCTGTGTCTTTACATGGTAGAAGGGGTAAGGGAGCTCTACAGGGCCTCTTTTATAAAGGCATCAAGCCTACTTGGAGGGCTCCATCCTCACGATCTAAGCACTTCCCAAAGGCTCTAGCGCCTAATTACCATCATCTTGGCTTTGGGAATTCAACATATGAACTGGGGGCGGGATGGGAGAGGATATAAACATTCAGACCACAGCAGGTCTGTAAGATTCTCTGTAGATGGGGTGGCAAATAATCAGCTAATGTAAAAATAAAAATACTCCTCTCATCTTTGTGTACAGCAAGTGGTAAGCACACAGCAAATAACCTAGATACTGTGCTGACCACCTTTAAATCCATAGGGCCCTACAAAAGTTCAGCCACCAGAGCTGTACCTTCTTTTTCAATATGCAAGGTTACATCTTTATGAAGCTTTCTCTTATCCATACATACAAGCAATTGCTTGTTTTCTTCTTCATGCTACTACTATCCCCCTCCCCCACCTCACACACATATTCTACTTTAAAACTCATCACAACTACTTGCTCACATGTCTGCCACTCTTTCACCCTGGGAGCAACTTAAACTAGAATTCTGACATATTCCACACTACATAAAACAGCCCCTCACACAAAATAGGCGACCAATAAAAATCTGGAAGAGTTACACCAATAACAGAAACCATTTCTATGTCCCCTATAGCATGCCATGAACTGGTGTCCCTAAACTTTGCTCTCATTATAGCTAATCCTCACAACCATTTACAGGCGAGGAGAGAAAAGTAAAGTGACGCCTGGAGAGTTTATTTCAACTATGTGCCCAAGGCCCTGCTTTGAAAGCCAGCTCAAACCAGATTTATTTAGATCAAGAATTCGGGACCTCACACTACTATATATAAACAAATAACAGAGTCCTACTGTAAAGCACAGGAAACTATATTCAATATCTTAATAATCTATAATGGAAAAGAATCTGAAATATATATACACATATATATCTGAATCACTTTGCTGTACACCTAAAACACACTGTAAGTGAACAATATTTCAATAAAAAATAATTCATGATCTACACATTT